TCTCTGGAGCTTGCACGGGAGGGAGAGAACAGCCAGCAAAGCAAAAAATGAAGCCGTGCTCTATTCTTGCATGCCTGAGTTTGGAAAAGTTACGGTTTTGGAACACAGCTTCCAATCCTCCTATGCTTGCAGGGAGATTCAGGGAGTTGTGGGGGAAAAATTAAAAATTTTCACACCATACACAAATGGCAATGGGATTGTTTTGTACATACATTTGTGACAGACCAGGAGGCAGGGATGCCTTTGAAAGGTTTCTGAAAGGTCCACAAAACAGGAGCAAGTTTACTACAGTGGGTCCTTGGCATCCACTGTACTTTGGTTCCAGGACCCCCGTGTGGATACCAAAATCCATGAATGCTCAAGTCCCATTAACCCCAATTGCTCTCACTGTCATCCTTGATTGATGACTATGTAAAGTGCCACGTAAAACTTACAGTGCTATAAGTGAACAACAACAACAACAACAATAAATAGAGGAAGGCAATGGCAAAACCCCTCCAAATAAACAGTGCCATGAAATGCCATGAAAGGTTTGCCAAAAGTTGGGGTTGATTTGAAGGCATGCAACAACAACAACAACACTTTTGCAAACTCCAAGCAGTATACATTGGGGTTTAAGGTGGTCCTCAGTCACTGAGTAAGTGTGGGCTTGCTTAGCTTTAGCAATACAGTGGCCACCTTTAAATGCCTCTGCATGTTAAGTGGCAGAGTTCAGAATCTTGCACATATTTAAGGTCATGCTAAAACCAGCTAAGTGAGGATTTAAGCATTATCAGAACATATGTACTCATCACATTTTAATCCTGGCTTTTCTTTAAGAAGCTCAAGACCCATATGGTCTTCATAGAATCACAGAATCATAGAGGTGGAGGGGACCCCAGAGGTCATCAAATCCAGCCCCGTGCTCAGTGCAGGATCTCCCATTAGAGCTTCCCCAGTAGCAAGGAGCTGTTCAGCCTCTTTTTGAAGACGTCCAGAAAAAGAGACCACACCACCTCTTTAGGCAATTTGCTTCAATGCTGAACCATTCTCACTGCCAAGAAGTTCCTTCTAAAATTCAGTCGAAATCTATCCTCTTGTAACTTCAAACCATCAGACCTTGTCCTACTCTCTGGGGCAGCCCTTGAGGTATTTAAAGAGTGGGGTCATGCCACCCCTTAGTCTTCTCTTCATCAGGCTGAACATGCCCAGCTCCTTCAAACTTTCCTTGTAGGATCTGTTCTCAATAACTCTTATCATCCTTGTTGCCCTATTCTGACCACATTCCAACTTGTTCATATCTTTCTTAAAATGAGGCACCCAGAACCGAACGCAGTACTCCAGATGAGGCCTGACCAGTGCAGAATATAGTGGGTCTATTACTCTGCCGACGTGAAAGCTATGCTTCCATTAATGCAAAGTAAAATAGCATTAACCTTCTTTGCTGCAGCAACACAATGCTGGCTCATGTTCAACTTATGATCAACAATAATCCCAAATTCCCTTTTGCGTGTAGCACTACTGAGTCATGTATCCCTCATCCTGTACCTGTGCATTGGTTTTTTGTGGCCTAAATACAGATTGTTAGGAGGCAGGGATTCTGTCTTGTCTCAGATTTGGCCACAGTAGTTTCTTCATTAGAAACTCTTCTCTGGTAGGCGGAGGTTAGCATGTTAGTAGGGCAATAAATCCACGCTAGCTGTAAACCCAGACTGTAAAGGAGCTATCCAAGGTGCTGAGGCCTGTCTTCCAATAAATCCCCTGTCTTGGATTGCTCCTTTAAAATTCAGAGTAAAATCCAAAGCAAATTCATTGCACCACCACAGTGGCTAAGAAGCCATCAAATACCACTAGAGTTCTCCTTAGTTCACTGAGCCTAGTGTGCATTTGCTTGGGACCAGAATTATTTATTTAAATTTGATTTATTTATATTCTGCCTTTCTTCAAAACTAGGTCAATGCAAATTAACTAAAAAGGTAAAAAGTAAAAAGAGGGGGAAAAGAGAGGAAAATCATAGATTCATAGTTTTGGAAGGGACTCCAAGTCCAGTCTAGTCCTTTGCCATGCAGGAATCCAAACAGCTAAAGCACTCCAGAGAGATGGCCGTCTAACCTCTGTTTAAAGACCTCCAAAGGAGAGTCCACTCCCTTCCAAGGGAAGCTGCTCCACTGCTGAACAGCTTTTACAATAAAAAGGTCTTCGTTTAAATATTTAAGTGTCATCTTTTTCCTTGCAATTTGAATCGACTGGAATCATGTCCCAGTCCCTAAAGCAGCAGAAGACAAGCTGCCTTGATCACCTACATGACCTTCCTTCAAATGTTTAAAGATGGCTATTATATCACTTGCAGTCTTTCCCCGCCCCTCCAAGCTAATAACATTATTAATATTAAATAATTTAATTTTGCTGATGCTGAGGCTTTCAAAAGGCCTGTTCAGGGTTAGTGGTGTCACCCGTACCGGCTGCTCCAGCCCTGGGCTTCCTCTTTGGATTGAAAGCACACCAAAGGAACAAACCCTCAATCCAGAAGGTAAGTGTTCAGACCAATGTTGCTCCATCTGGTGATCTCCAGATGTTCCAGGCTGCAGTTCCCAGATGTGACGTCCAACACCTCTGGAAGGCACCAGGCAAACGAAGAACAGTCTTGACACAAAATACAGCATGTTACAATACACATTCTGTGTGGTGCAACATTTCACATTGTCATGTATAAAACTCAGTAGCTCCAGGTTATTGAAGCTTTGTGTTTTAACCACAAAGTAAAGTCGTGAAGGGAAAAGGAACTCCCAAAACATGGATAATGTACTTGTTATTTCTAAAACAAAAAGAAACTCTGTGCTATCAGTAATTTGTAAACACAACAGCTACCATGTGTCCTCCAAAAATCTTAATAAACCAAATTTAGAGTTTTTAGTTGCTGAGATGTTATACACTTGGGAAGTTCTATTTGCCTTGGGCCACACATGGCATTCTCTGAGATCGAGACCGGAGGAGCAGGAGGGACATGCGTCCTCCCTTACTGGCTGCTTCGGCCCCAGGCATCCTCCCATGGAGAAACCTTGGGGCCAGAGAAGAGTGCCCTTTTGGCCACTGCCACCCCCTGGCAGCCCCAGCACAATGGGCATCACCCAGCATGGGGATGCCACTTTTCAGGGTCTTGTGTGGCTGCTGAGCAGGTGAGAAGAAGAGGTAACACCCTTTCTTACTTGCCTAGCAGCTATGCTAGTCCCATTGGGTGTACTGCTCTACCATGTGCACACCTGCTTCTTGGGTGTCACCTGGTGCGGTCACTGCATCCCCTAGTGACACCCCTGCCTACAACACCTGTTACTCATTGGTAGTCTCCCATCCAAGTGGTAACCAGAACTGAACCTGCTTAGCTTCCATGAACATGCGGGATCTGGTGCATGCAGCTTCAAGTCACCTGTTGACTTATGGCAACCCCATTAATTTCATAGGGTTTGGTTAGGCAAGGAATACTCACAGGTGGTTTTGTCAGTACCCTCCGGTGTGGTGTTACTGTAGTTGGTATTAAAGGTATTCCCTGTTGACAAGATTGTCAAGTCTAGTCTGACTATAGGGAGTGGTGCTCATCTCCGTTCCTAAGCTGAAGAGCCAGTGTTGTCAGAGACTACTCTGTGATCATGT